CTGGAAGAGTAGCTGGTGCTCTTAACCACTGAGCCATCTCTCCACTCCCCGTATCAAAGTTTAAAGCCATGACTGATACACAAGACATCAAATCCATTTAATGAATGAGATGGCAGACATGAAGTCACCCCTTTTATCTTTGCAGGCTAGAGCTAAAAGACTCTTGCTTAGAATATTGTTCTTTCCCAGATGAATTAATGTCTGGTATTTATCAGATGAACGCACACAGAGAATTTTGGAGAGTATAAATAGATGTTACAGAGAATGCAACTTGTAGGCAGACTTTCTGTCCAGACTGTGCTGGTCAGCTCTGTCCCACCAGCCTCTTCCAAATAAGCACATAGAGACTTAATATTAATTACAAATGCTTGGTCAATAGCTCAGGCTTGTTACTAGCTAACTCTTACATTTTAAATTAACCCATATTCCTCATCTGTGCCTTGCCACATGGCTTAGTCCTTTTTCTCAGTACAGCACGACCATCTTACTTCTCTCTGCATTTCCTTGAGACTTTTAGACTCTACCTTCTTGACTCTTCCTGCCTAAACTCTACCTGTCCAGCCATTGGCTAGTCAGCTTCTTTATTAAACCAACTCAGTGTCAGATATTCACACAGTATAAAGGAATATCCCACAGTTGCTGGCTGGAAGCTGGCTGGGGGAAGAGAAGAGGAGTCTCCAGGAAACTAATTCAGTTCTTCTAAGCTTTAAGTTTATTTAAGGGAAATGCTTGTAAGCATTAACTAGAGTGCTGTATCCTATTTGGAAATTGAAAAACGTCCAAGAAGTAGAACGTGAGGAACATCTGGCCTCTCTGACGGCTTAGTGCGTGTGTGGCAGATGTGTCTATAATACGGCATAATTATTCTTCCACCAGAGCCAGTGCTAATCCTTTAACAGTTTCTTACCATGTTAGGCTGAGCCTCTGAGATTCTATCAGTCCCATCTGAGGAGCCAATTTTGTCCGCTGGAAAGAAAGCAGGGTGACAGCCACCCACATGTGCAGGAAGACACAGACAGTTCACAGGATCACTGTCCCTTATGCCTAAGCCTAAGTTGGCATGCTAAGTCATGTTAGCTGTGAACAACGCCCACAGCAGCCTGGCACTCCCAACTGTGGGTCCCTGTACATGTTTAGTTCATTTTTAAAACTTAACTATCATATAAGTCCAGATATATGGCATTCTTTCATTCTTTTTCCTTTTTTTTCTTACAGTGTTCAGTGACTCCCTCATAGGAGTCTGAATTACAGGCCTTAACATGGGCACTATACAACTGGCAGTAAGGTCTATTAGCATTCTTAATTTGTGATTTTTTTTTAATGTTTTACTTAGAAAGCAGTCTCTCAAACATCTGGAGTAAAAAGGAATTAAGATCCAGAAGTTACAGGACTGAAATCAGCTTTATTTGGGGGCATGCTATCTGGGAGGCTACAACTGATCCATTTTATCGTTACCATCCAGTACACAGTACATAAGGAAGCTTTTGGTTCCCAGGGGATACCAGTGAGACAGCAGCCTGGAGAAGCACTCACCTGGCAGGAGGTGGGCCCACATCTGTAAACTCAGCAGCTGGTAGGCAGAGGAAAGAGGGTTATGAGATTGAGGCCATTCTCAACTACACAGTACTACACACCAAAGCCTTGTTTCAGTTAAAGAAAAGAATGAATGAACCTGTGTGTTCCGTCTCTATCCTCACAATTTATGCATGCTCTTAGTGATCCTTATTAATCATCCTGTTCTGGGTATGAAGGTAGATTAGTTAAAAGATGGCTGATAATTTTAAAATGGGTCTCTAGATTAACTTGGCTTCTAGTTAAGGTGAAATGGCTTGAAAAAAAATTAGGCCAAAGAAAGAAATGGCCTGGCCATAAGCTAAAATTCTGAAAATTTTGGTGATGGCAAGTTGTAAGAAATGGTTTCAGGTCCTCTCCTCTGAGTTGCAATAGGGCAAATGCCTCTATTGTGGGGGGGAAATCTGGCCTCTCTTAGTACATCCCTATACTTTTGGATCTTTTAAAAATTGTTCATTAAACTTAATTACTGCCAACTTCATTAATGCGTGCAATATATCATGAATGTGTTCACCCTGTTACCATCTCTTTCCCCTCCCACTCTATAGAGCCCAGTGAATGCCTCTCCTACTCACGTCTATTATTTTTTATGTGGGTCTTGTACATGTAGCAGGAGCTGCTGAGTATTCATGAGCACACCAGCTACATTTTCTAGAAGGAAGTGTAGTAGGGGACCCTCTCCATTCTTAACCTTTAAACTGTCTCTTTCCCCATTTCCTATCACGGTCCCTGGGTCTTGGAGGGGGCAGTATAGATGTCCTGATTAGGGCTGAGGACTCTACAGTCAGTCATTCATTCTTAGCATTTTTGCCTAGCGACGGGTCTCTGTATTAACTATTGCAGACTGCAAAAAGAGTCGATAACAGCAGTAGCCTACAGGGATAAATATAAATATTTAGACGGCAGTTAGGCTAATGTCTTAGTCAGGGTCTCTATTGCAGCAATGAAACACCATGACTACAAAGCAAGTTGGGGAGGAAAGGGTTTATTTGGCTTACACTTCAGCATTGCTCTTCATCACTGAAGGAAGTCAGGACAGACACTCCAACAGGGCAGGATACAGGAAGCAGAAGCTGATGCAGAGGCCATGGAAGGGAGCTGTTTACTAGCTTGCTCTATGTGGTTTGCTCAACCTACCTTCTTATAAAACCAAGAACCCGCAGCCCAGGGATGGCACCATTCATGGATCACTAAATGAGAAAATTCCTTCCAGCTGATCTCAAGGAGACATTTCCTCAACTGAGGCTCCTTCCTCTGATGACTCTATATAGCTTGTGTCAAGTTGACACGCAAAACCACCCAGTACAGCTGCGCATCTATTTAGCTTCAATTACTCTGTAGGGCCTGTGACATCCTACCCAGAGACTTTTTCTCAGGTTTACAGTACCAGGTATATGTTTCTTCCCACGAAGCAGGCCACATGGAAGGAAGCAGGACACCTGATAAAAAAAAGTGGTTACCCCAGAAACGGTGGTGCCCCTTGTGCACCAGTGGGAACATAGTACCTGGAAGTAACCTGAGCACGGCAGTCCTCAGGATCCATAGCTGGGGGGACCATCGGCATCTTTCCTAGTCCATCGGCCTGCAGGGAGGATATTCCCGTCTCAGCTGTGACTTGATTTACCCGCGTGCTCTCCCCCAGCTGTGTCATCTTCAGCAGCAGGGTCCTACCTCTTACCCTTTGGCGGGTAATTATGTCCCTATAACTTCAGTATGTGTGGCTAACATAACTTTATTCTAGTTTTTATTTGTCCTTTCTTAAGCATGGGAAAACATGAAAATGAACTCTTTTTAACCTATAGTGAAAAAGAATTTTTAATATTTCTGTCGACAGCTTTTTTTTTTTTTTGCTTTGGTTTTTGTTTTTTGAGTGAAGGTCTGGGAAAGGCTTTGGAGGAATTCAATTGAATGTACACCCAAATATGGAAAATTAGTGTTTTCTGTGATTTTTTTGAACTATTCCACCCTCTTGTCCTAAACAAAAGGAACTCAGCCAAATTACAAAATGGCTAAAGAATAAGCAATTTTTTTTCCTGCTGCATCTGGCAAAATCTTACTTAATTTTCTTCTTTTGGGTCAGGAGACTTGCCAGCATAAAACAGTTATATTCGCACTGTGAAACTCGTGTCCTCTGGCACAGGCAGCTTGTGAATTACAGACACTGAAGGGAGCCCTTGGGTAAGGCATGTCTCCACTGTGAAAGCTCACTAGTTCAAAGCTACTCCGGGCTAGTTCTCAGCTTGACTGTTATTCTTAATATGGTTTCCTACTTTGCATGTCTTCTATGGAGTCTCAAGAGTGCCAAAACAGAAATGACTCAAATCTAGAAGGAAAATAGGCTCTCCTGACCAATTCTGATTTGCCGCCATTGCATTCGGAAGGTTTTCAGATGCTAACTGCAAACACTTGCATCCCGAATTCCTTGCATCTTTCATCGTTTTTTAATGGGAGAAGAATCTGGTTTGGGTTTCTTTACTCTTTGACGGCTAACTTGCATCCAGGAGATGGAAATGGGAACCTTTATTTTCTAACTGAAGGGAGCACTGCCGTTCCAGGAGACATTACACAGCCCACTCTCCAGCGATGCCAAGAGAGAAACATCAGCCTCCGTTTGGTCCTGCAACCAACCAGAGCAGCAAATCATCTCCGAGGCTGGCTTTACTTGAAAACCGCTCGGGACCACAGACTTGTGAGGCAAGATGTGGTCTGAGCCAATGTTATGACCCTCAATCAAATGAAGAAAGCGTTTTCATTTAACCCATTTCCAGACTTCGACATTATGTCTGCATCTTTATTGTTGTCATCAAAGCAAAGCCTTCTATGTTTTAGCGTAAGATGGCCCTGTGCATGGGCTTGGGGAAGAATGAGTGTGAAGTTTCCACTTCCGTTTTCTTGGTAGGCAGGCTTTAGTTGGCCTCCGAAAGCATCTTTGATTAGCCACCCTGGGCTACACGAAATTGATCTAGTCTAAAAGAGAAGCAGAGCCAAGTGGTGACGGCTCACACCTTTAATCCCAGTATTTGGGAGTCCCACGACTTTAATCCCAACACTAAGAAAGTATGGCTGGGTGGAGAGAGGAATATAAGGTGGGAGGAAACAGGAGCTCATTATAGACTGAGGAGGCAGTCCGAGGATAGAATCATCCCTTTGGTCTGAAAATATTTTTTTCCCACATTTTTCTTTTTCAAAGCAGTGATTATATTTTTTAAACTAAGATTTTATGTTTTCATAGTCCAGGGTTTCCATATTTGTTATTATCGCTTACTATGAAGGTATAGCAAACACCTGGCTCTCTTTCCACATCACATAGACAATGAATCACCTGTACCATTCTTCCTTGATTTGGCTTTATCTGTGTTATCTCTTAACAACATGTCGGGTTATTAAGGTTAACAACAGCCTTACTGGCGAGTACCGTGGCGGCCTGCGCGAAAATTTTGAGTTGCGTTCCTCTAGGCTATAAGACCTTAGTTCAGAAGACAGTAGAATCTCTCGACGATACATTTGCTTATTCACCATGAGGTTAGCAAAGCCTAAAGGGGCTATTTCTCGAAGCTCAAACCAAGGCAAAACCTACGAGACCAAGCGTAAGACAGGCCGCCAGCGGCAGAAATGGGGGATGACCATTCGACTCGACTCCGGCTTAAGTCGGCGGAGAAGGAACGTGGATGAGAAGCCCTACAAATGTAGTAGATGTTCGAAGAGTTTCGGTCAGAGCTCCACTCTTTTTCAGCACCAGAAGATCCATACAGGGAAGAAGTCCCATAAATGTGCTGATTGTGGGAAGCGTTTCTTCCAGAGCTCGAACCTCATTCAGCACCGGCGGATCCACACTGGGGAAAAGCCCTATAAGTGTGATGAGTGTGGAGAGAGGTTTAAGCAGAGCTCCAATCTCATTCAGCACCAGAGGGTTCACACTGGAGAGAAGCCCTACTGCTGTGACGAGTGTGGCCGCTGCTTCAGCCAGAGCTCGCACCTCATTCAGCACCAGAGAACCCACACCGGGGAGAAGCCCTACCAGTGCGAGGAGTGTGACAAGTGCTTCAGCCAGAGCTCGCACCTCATTCAGCACCAGAGAACCCACACCGGGGAGAAGCCCTACCAGTGCGAGGAGTGTGGCCGCTGCTTCAGCCAGAGCTCGCACCTGCGGCAGCACATGAAGGTGCACAAAGACAAGAAGCCACGCAAGAGGGGCAAGAACGCCAAGGCCAAAGCTCACCCGGTGTCCTGGAAAGCTGGTAAAGGGAGGAAGGCAGTGGCCGGGCTCCGCCAGGTGAAGGGTACTGCTTCGGGCCTTTTTAAAAAGAAAAAGTGAAAGACAGGCAAATATGCTCTCTTAAGAGCGAGGCTGCTTTATAGTAGAGCTCTTAGATTTCAGATCTAAGAACTGCAATGTCATAGACTGTGCTTTGAATATCTCTGACTGTCTGAAACAGATGTTTGTCCACAAGTTTGTCCAGAACACTGAAGCCCTGTTAGAATTTACCTGTTTTACTTCATAGCACTGTTTAAGACTTACATACGTCCGTCTTCCATCAGAACAATACCAAACTGCATTCCCGATCAGCCTTGAGTTTGAAGTTTTGTTTATTGAATGCTAATTTTTTTTTGATTTTTATAATATCAGTTCTTCCTGTATTAATGACAGTTATCCTTAAAAATAAAGAATGAGCTATTTTTGCATAAAAAAAACAACAGCCTTACTTTTCTGTTCATGTCTCTCTTACAGAAGGTGCAAAACTCTTAACCATCTCCCAAAGAGGCCCAACATAGTGCAGATACTTACGCATGGATCTATCCACACCCACGCAGCTTTCCCTCCCTTATTCCTCTAAGCATCTGCATGACAGTGTGGGGTCAGCCCATGTCAACTGTACTCATAGCTAGTAACACCCTATATATACAATCATGTTTTCTTTTTAAATCTTTGTTTCTACTCTAGCTAGCACTGTGTGTGTGTGTGTGTGTGTGTGTGTGTGTGTGTGTGTGTGTGTGTTCTAGGCAGCATCCTAAGATAACTTTCGGGGATAGCTTTTCTAATTTGTTTCCAAACTTTCTTCCAGGTACTTAAATCAGCTCTTGGATGTCACCTGTTATTTCTTGGGGAGTCACTCCTGGATGCACCCTGTGACTCTTTGATTTGCTTTCGCTGGCCTTCTTGGGTTTCTTTTAGACCTCTTCTGACTAGATCAAGCTTGGTAATTTCTGTCTTCCTCTGTTGACCAGCTCCTTTATTTTGTTGGAACTTAGTCTCTGATAACTTCCCAACCAAAGCCATGTAGATGATAACTATTTGGGAAATGGATATTTTAAAATGTCTTGGGCTGTAAGTATAGCTCAATGTTTGAGTGCTTATCTAGTCGTAAAAGGCCTGTGATCCGATCCCAAGTAATATGCGTGCACACACACACACACACACACACACACACACATTATCCTTGCACTTACAGTGTAAGAGTCAAAGTTATGTTTTAAGTTTTAATTACTTATGCTTAAAAGATCCATAAAACAAACAAACAAAATGCCTCTACCCAGTAAGGTCCTTGCCAAAGGACAGATACTTCCCAAGATGCTGGACACTGTTGTTCAAAAAGATAAGAAGTCGCGTGTTTTCAGTTCCTTAAACAAGTTTGGTTGACCCAACTGCACCACCTGTACTTGGTCACCTGGAAGCCAGAAGTACGTGACCTTCGAGTTTTGCCTTTATAAGCACCTAACCAGCCTAGCTTGTGGCCATTTTCTGGGAACCCCAGAATGCACCTGGCCAGAGTCTACCATCCTGGCCAGTATTTAATTAAAGCTTGCTTCAAACTTGGCTCAAAGTCATGGTAGCGATCTTAGTGACCAGTGGGATTAATAACAGCTGTTTAACAGTTTAGCCTCTTTAGAATTGGCAGTTTAAATGATTTTCCCTCGGAGCTTTTGAAGTTTTAAAAATATCCCCCTAATTGTGTTTTACCAATAGAAGTTAGCTTGGTGGAAATAAAATTACAATGTAAAACAAATGTTTCTGAAATGCATTTTTGCAAATAGAGATTGTTACCTCGATAAAATAATACACAAAATACAATACTGTAAGCAAATTTGTATTTCTAAATATGAGCAACAGAACAAAACTTGATTTTAAAATGTATGTTTCCCATCTCCATAAGTATTTTTGTTTGATGTCAACTTCTACCAAATAATTTGTTTTCTACATGAGAAAAAAAAAATCTCACTATTTCCCCTCATCCCATTGATGGAAAGTAAAGTAGAAATAAACTCACATCTCCCAGTCTTCCTTGAAGACTTACTTAAGAGCGTCTGTTAAGCGAGCACTCTGGACACCAACGCTACCCTGGCATTCTGCAGGGAGACATCTTGAATGAGAGAAGGGAGTCTAAAGCCCGCATTTTGTGCACTGTAAGTGAAAATGGATGGCTTTTGCTTTTGCACATGTTGAGCTGTGCAGCTTCAGCTGATGTTGATTTAAAGCACACTTTATTCTTTGCACGTGGAGGAACGTGTATTACTCTACCAGGAAGGAATGACAATGCATGCCATTCCATCAGAAAACTGTCTGATGAAGGGACAGCTGGGAAGATCTGGCAGGCCTCAAATTTGGCAAAGCCCTTGTTGGCAAATTAAATATGGCAACTCAAATATTTCCTCTTCAGGCAAACCTGTCTAGTGCTATAGCTGAATTTTAAGACATAATTATTTTTGTTTGTGAGTGTTTTGCCTGTGTTGTGGTGGTTTGAAAGAAAATGGCCCCCAAAGGGAGTGGCCCTGATAGGAGGTGTAGCCTTTTGGGAGTAGGTGTGGCCTTGTTGGAGGAAGTGTGCTACTGTGGAGGCAGGCTTTGAGGTCTCATATATGCTCAAGCCACGCTGCGTGAGACAGACTACTTCCTGCTGCCTGCACAAAATGTAGAACGCTCAGCTGCCTCTGCAGCCATGTCCCACCATGAATGATCATGGATTAAACCTCTGAACTGTAAGACGCTCAACTAAATGTTTTCCTTTTTAAGAGTTGTTGTGGTAATGGGGCCTCTTCAGAGCAATAGGAACCCTAAGACAGTGTTCTGCCTGTATGTGTGTATGTATGTGTACCACAAGTATGTCTGGTGACCATGGAAGCCAGAGGGGGTACTGGATCCCCTGGAACTGGAGTTACAGACAGTTGTGAACTGCTATGGGAATGTGTGGATCAAACCCAGGTCCTCCGCAAGAGCAGCAAATTATGTTAATAGTATATGTTGATTTATCTCTGTGATATGGTTTGATCATTATTAATTTTCTAGGAATAACCACTTTACGGAAGAGTGTAAAATAAATACAGCAAATACGTTTGCTGCAATTGGGATTTTAAAATTATTTGATGAAATAATCGAGAGAATGTCTTCAACTTATTCTCTGGTGGCCACTGTTTTTTTTTTAAAGTTATTTAGGTGTGGCTGTATATATATATATATATATATATATATATATATATGTATGTATATGTATATATATATATATATATATATAAAATTTTAAGTGGGACATTGTGCTAACACAGTGCAGTGATCATTGATCTTACCTCAGCTAGCCTTCCTGTATCAGGAGGGAGACATTCCCTGCTCTACAAGTATCATCAGTTAAAAATAAATCTGTCTTTTATCCAAATCCATAGTCCTAATCAATAGTTAGCTGATTAGACTTGCTGACCTCAAAGGAATTTGCTATGAACAATATTTGCTGGAGGCTCAATGAAAATCAATATCCACCAACACACAAAAAGAAAGTGGACATACAAAATTCATAACACCAACAAAAACTGTAGCATGATAGTGCTAACGGCACACTTTAGAATTATAACACATCTAAAGACAAAAGCAAACTTTTGCTGCTGAACTGCTATGTCAGAGTGAATGGATACTTCTCCACCAATCTCATAAAAAAAGTAAACATACACTCCCATCCGGAATGTAACCAAGAGCTATGCAGTAGACTGTAATCCTGGGGGCATCTGTGGAACCCCACTGCTGTGGTTTCAATGAAATTGACCCCCATAGGCTCATGTATGGTCCCCAGTTGTTGAGTTGTCAGGGAAAGATGAGGAGGGTGATCTTGTTGCAGTGGATGTGGCCTGTTTGAAGGAGGTGTGGCTTTTTTTGGAGAAGGAAGTGTGTCACTAGGGGTGGGCTTTAGGATTTCAAAAGTCTACACCAGGCCCAGTGTCTGTCTCTCTCCCTCTACCTGCTGCCTGTGGATCAGGTTGTAGCTCTCAGCTGCAACTCCAGCACCAAGTCTGTCTATGTCTCCACGCTTCCTGCCACGACAGCAGACGACCCCTCTGAAACTATAAGCAAAACCCCAGTTAAGTGCTTTCTTTGATAAGAGTTGTCTTGGTCATGGTGTCTCTTCACAGCAATGAACAGTGACTTAGACACCCACTGACCAACAACTCTGAAGGAGGTGACCCCTACCTGGCCCTGAGTCTGTTATTTGATAGCGTCTAATGACTGAGAAAGGCATTGTCCTTCAGTTATAGAGTAACTCCATTTAAACTCCTTCTTGAGCATGTCTATGTTTATATTTTAGGAAGCTTCTACAGTAGTGTTTCTGTATGACTTCTTCAAAGATCCTTAGTGTTAGATCTCCCTCTTCATACCCATTCCTGTTCTCTGCCCTCCATCCCTCGGCCCATTATCACCACCCCCCATTCTGTTATTCCCCTTTCCCCCTCCACACTGGTTGTGCTCTGCCCTCTCTATCTTGAAATCCCTCCAATGGCCCTTTACTAGTTTCTGTATGACTTTCACAGATACGCCCCCTTAAATATGCATGTCTAAGTATTCAAAGTTAGCATCAATATATGAGACTGTATGTGGCATTTTTCTGAGTCTGTGTTACCTCACTCAGAATGCCAATTTCCAGAATGAAAATTTCCATTTGCCTGAAATTTTTACTATCATTGCTCTTCGTTTCCCTCCAGAACTTGATGGCAAGCTCCCATTGATAGAGATACTGCAACCTGAGACATAGGACATGGAGAAATCAAGCTGGTACTGACCTGGAAGCTTCATCCCTATTGGCTAGCTTTAAGAGTGTTGGAAGGGTCTATGCATTCTATTGGGAGAGAGTTATCAACCATCTTATCCATCTGTAAATCCCATGAGCTATAATAATGATTGGCCTGGCAAGATACACCCACTGGTGCAATAGTGATATAAATGTTATGGGAGTAACCAGTCACTTCCTGGTTAGATTTAAATCCAACTCTAAAAAATGGAACTCATGCCTGGTATTAGCAATTGTGCCAAATACAAGAATGCCTCCTGCTAGAGGGGAG